CCAGGCAATTAAAGGACTACACATGGCCAGAAAAGGGAGCAGAGACAATTCTTAAACTTTGATCAGAATTGACTAAGAAAACGGAACACTGCTTGCAAAAACGGAATTTAGGAGAAAGGGTTGGTGAGAAGAAGAAACGAGTTGAGTTTTAAACATGTAATTTGAAGCAATAGCAAACCATTTAGGTAAATATGTTTGGTAGAAAGTCAAATTCATCTATGACCAGAAATATCAATTTATGGGTTACTTTTATATAAAATGGTTGTATAAAACAGATTCTAAATTTAATTTAGTACATTAGGAAGGGAACTTACCCTAATTTACTACCTACAAAAAATTAAAACATGACTCTTCCCCTTCATACAAAAATTAGTTTCTAGTCTTTCAGGTACAAGAGTTATTCATCTCTAAGTTAAATTTTTTAACAAGAAACTGAAAGAATCAGTCTAAAATTTACTATTTACACTAAAATTATACCTAATTTTATTTAATGGCTCATTGGCTGAGGCTTGGCAAATTTTACTAGTTGTTTTACTAGCATTAGTTGTATTGTGATTGATCAAATATATTGGTACATTATTCTGTAAATGCCATACAAATTTTAAACAATTTTAAAGTGAATTCCCATTTTATCCAATATGCTATTGTCTCCCATTAACTTCGTAAGACAAATTGAATAAAGAAACATACTCAAGTATATAAATTACATGTAGATTCTATACTAGTTCCTATTTTCTTAAGGTTGTTTCTAAGATTGGTGGTGAATTGTGAATTAATGAAAAAAAGCCCTCAAAATAACTTACAATAAGAATTAGAATGGAATATTCAACTTAATAAAAATTATACTCTATTTTATAATCCCTAAGTATACATTATATGATACATGGGGTAGGCTGAGGTATCATCAATATTGGGCAGTGGAGACAACTATCCCATAAGCAAAAAAAGTTACTGAAGATCATCCACAAAGATGTCCAACTGACACTCCATAAACATCATCTCTAACATATTCAGTGAATGACCCAAGACATTTCGATGAAGGCCCGAAATCAAGAAATGCTGAGAATCACATTTTACACTGTTTGCCCTAAAGTCTCAATTAGTTTCTTTTTGCCAGCAATACCAGTAATGAGGTATTCAAATGTTTTAAATAGCCTCTTAAAACTGATACAGCTAATTTATTTAAATATAGTTTTCTAAATGGACATTTCTAATGTAATTGGCCATTTAAGAAATTCAGAATCATTTTTTTTCTCAACAGATCCACCAAGTGTTTTCAACATGCCTGAAGCAGATTTCAAAAGAATTTTGTGGGTACTATCCCTTCCTATTATCACATTACTTTTTCTAACCACACCAGATTGTAGAAGAAAATTTTGGAAAAATTATTTTGTGATAACCTTTTTCATGTCGGCACTTTGGATATCTGCATTTACATATATCCTTGTTTGGATGGTCACAATAACTGGTATGTATCTTGAATACAAGAGAACAATTTAAAAAGAAAATAATCAGTTTCACATAAGAACTCCATACATTCACTAAGGTAGTCTAGCTAAGGAGCAAATTTCTTTTCTAGCAAAGAGTAAATATAATGCTATCCACCAAAAAATTCAATATTAATATACCAATCATCCAGGTTTTGTGAGTGCATATCCCATATCAACTATATTCTCAAAATTATACAGCCCAGGGGTATGAGTCAAGGGAATCATCTCATAAATGAAATAAATTCACAGGATGTCTGTTAGACTAATAATTAAATCACATTGCATGGGCTCCATAACTCTTTATATTAAGTTCAATCACATAACAGAAAATATAGCAAGATGTCACTGTTTGGGGAAAACAATGATGTTCACAGTTTAACTAGAATACGTTTTATTTTGCTTTTTATTTATTTTTGCCATTGACTTTTAGAGAGAGTGAAAGGGTGGGAAGGAGGGGGAGAGAAAGAGAGAAACATGGATGTGAGAGACACACATTGATTGGGCGCCTCCCGCATGTGCCCCAACCTGGCCAGGAATACCACCTGCAACCCAGGTACATGCCCTTCCGTGCATGGGCCAACACTCTAACCACTGACCCGTCCAAGCAGGGCTTTTAATTTGCTTTTTGACATGGCAATATAAATATATTATGAAATAAGTAAAAAAAGTTTCATTTTAGGTTTCTACTGCTTTCACAATTAAAATTTAACTATTACTGCTTGGCCATAATCAGCTCTAATCCCATAGAATTCCTAGTCCAGAAGGACAAACTAAATATAAATGTAAAACAAAAAATTCAGGAATTTCTCCCCAAAGGTTAACCTGAATGAACTAGTATCAGAGGTGAGCAAACTACCTCCTGAGTATCACTGGTCTTCTGTTTTTTTGCTAATCGGGTCAATCGTTTACATATTATCTATGGATGTTTTCACACTACATTGGCAGAGCTGGATAATTGCAACAGGGACTATAACCTGCAAAGCCTAAAATAATTACTATCTGGCCCTTTACCAAAAAACAAACAAAACAAACAAAAAAAAAGAACCCAAAACTTGCTGATCTCTGACTTTTTCCAATTTAATATGTAACTTAGAATAGTATGCTAGCAAAAAACAAAATATTTTTTTCTTTTTTTAAAGAGGAAGATAAAATAGTCCAATTAGCTTGCATATTAAATCTCTCCAAACTTTCTCAGCCAGAACACATTTGACATTAGGAAAACAGGAAAAGAGCAAAATCAAGTAACAGATCATAGAACACCCCCAAGATGTTATTTATGTGTTATTTATGTACATAAGAACTCTGGCCAACCATAACAAAAATTAACAATCAAGTCCAATATCAATATATATTAGCATGCAATAAACAGCTACTTAGTTTTTTTAAATTAATATTAGAAAGGAAGAATAATTCTAAAGTTTTCAATTATAACAATAAAAGAGCAGTTACATGTACTTTTTTTTAACTTCCCATTGGTCCTGTTTCCTAAAATAAATACATTACTGAAAAATGTTGAACTGACATCAAATTTAACAGAAGTATTACTAAATTAGGACTATAATGTTAAAAAAACTCAAGAACCCTATTTTGTTTTCTTCAGATTTATGATATTTCTCAAAGAAAACACTAAATTGAGGTATATCACTAAAGTAGGAGTTAAAATGTATACCATATTAACACATTTATATTTTTAAAATAGCTATAAACAATATGCTTAACACTGAACACTTTAAGAAAAGTTTTTAATAAAAAAAAGGGACCAATCTTATTAGCATACATTAAGCAACAGCCTTAATGATATAATAGTGATGACATCCAAAACTTCTATAAGCATACCAAGGAGGGAAACTGCTCCTTGGTAGAATTTTCTCTATTAAAAATCTGTCCTACCTGCTCTGGAGCACTACCTCTTACAGCAAAAGGTTGCAGGTTCAATTCCTGGTCAGGGCACATACCTAGGTTTTGGTTGTGCTACAGGAGGCAACCAATCGCTATTTCTCTCTCACATCTATGTTTCTCTCTCTCTCTCCCTCTCTCTAAAATCAATAAAAACATATCCTTGGGTGAGTATTTAAAAGAAAAAATCTGTACTACCCATGTTACCCCATTTACCAATCTTACTCAAATATTTTGCTAACTAAAATCTAAGTATATACATACTGGCTCTGTAATCTAAATATGCCTATTTTCTTTTTGTTCAGGAAGGAAATATCTAAAATATCTGCAGAGGATGGTTAGTGAACCTATAAGATTTGTAACTTATAACATCTATATTTATTACAGGGGAAACATTAGAAATTCCAGATACAATAATGGGCCTTACTTTATTAGCAGCAGGAACAAGCATACCAGACACGATTGCAAGTGTGCTGGTTGCAAGAAAAGGTAAGAATTAGGTCCCTCAAGCTGCAATGCTCACTCTTCAAGCCTGGCTGAACTACACTAAGCAAAGTTGCCTTTAAATATATTTATTTCTTCAGCAACATACTTGAAGAAAAAAAGGAGTAACTCAAGAGGAAGGATTTACTATTTAATAACAAACATTAATTTCACTAAATCTAATTCCCGAATAAAATTCATCTGAATTGTGTATTAAATTGTAATTAAACATGTTAAACTAGAATGAAAGCAACAAGTAATCTACACACCTTATTGAAAAATGCTTTAATAAAGATAATTAGATAAATAAATGTTAATACTTTAAATACTAACCTCCCCAAATTAAAAAATACAAATTCAGTAAGACTTTTGCTCTAATACAATTTTCCAAAACCAACAAACAAAAAAGTATCCAGTGTCTTTTCTTATGAAGCTTATTATTAAAATACAGTATTGGTATGCACATTTTAACACCATGCTTTTTTTTGCAGGCAAAGGAGATATGGCTATGTCTAACATCGTGGGATCCAATGTGTTTGATATGCTGTGCCTAGGTGTTCCATGGGTGATTAAAACTGTATTTATAAATACATCAGCTCCTGTAGAAGTGAACAGCAGAGGACTAACTTACATAACCATCTCTCTCAATGTTTCAATTATTTTTCTTTTTTTAGCAGTTCACTTCAATGGCTGGAAACTAGACAGAAAGTTGGGAGTAGTCTGTCTATTATTGTACTTGGGACTTGCTACATTATCAGTTCTATATGAACTTGGAATTATTGGAAATAATAAAATAAGGGGCTGTGGAGGTTAATATTAATAGTGATAGGTGGAAAATGTGAATGATAGGGAGGGGCAGAGAAAGAAAACTCCATTTCTTCATTTAAGTAAAATAAAAAATATCCTAAACTTTAGACTCTAAAACTTACAATAATTCTTTACCAAAGAAAAGTAATTTAAATGAACCAAAATCATATCCTAATTTGTCCGAGTACTTTCTTATCAAGAACAATTACATATAGATAACAGAAGTTTTGAAAAAAAACATCTGTTTTAACTTACAATAAATAAGCTGATAAAAGCTGGAGAAACTTGAACAAACCCCACAATGTAGTACTGAAAATAACATGGAAATGGCTTATTTCATTAAAAAACAGTATAACCATTCATTTAAACTGAATGACCAGATTTGCTGTCTTTAAAAACCCAAACTTGAGATAACAAAAATCACAGTATATTTAACACTATACTGTTAAAAGCTGGTGGGAGTTTTAAAAGTTCATTTTTACAACGTTTGTAAGCATACAGTATTACTTAAAAATGACTTTTACTAGGAGATTCAGCAAAACAGATGTAAGAATGTTCCAACCGTGGTTTGAAATTATGCATTACGATCCAAGCGAACATCAATTTCTCTACCACTGATTTTTATGCCATTCATTATTCTGCAGGCTTTCTCAGCGGATTCTGGGGAGTCAAATCTGACTGTTCCACAGCCTTTTGACTTTCCATTCTCCATTTTTATTTCTGCAAACATTACATGACCTGTATAAGAAAAATTATAGAATTACTCGCCAAGTTAAAACAGGTTCCATATTTAACTACACAGGTTTGAAATTTTTCAGTGCCAATGAAGTGATATGTAACTTGACTAGAAACATTAACATTAATGATTTTAAAATAACATAAGCATTATTCACATCACTTTATATTCTGAATATAATGGAACTCACATAAAGTAATAAATATCTATAGGTTAGAATATGCAAAATTGGACTAAAAATAAATTTGCTTAGGATTTAATATTTTATTAAAATAAAAAAATATTTTTATGTTAAATCCTTAGTTTCAGAAGTAAAATCTAGCACAAAATGCCACCAAGTCACTATGCCCAATGACAAACCACAAATTTATTTATTTTTTAAAAATATATTTTTATTGATTTCAGAAAGGGAGAGGGAGAGATAGAAACATCAATGAGAAGAGAGAATCATTGAACAGCCTCCTGCAGCAGGACCCCTACTGGGGATTGAGCCCACAATCTGGGCATGTGTCCTGACCAGGAATCAAACAGTGACCTCCTAGTTCATAGGTTGATGCTCAACCACTGAGCCATGCCAGCTGGGCGACAAACCACAAATTTAAACAAAACTATTTAGACAAAATTATTCCTTTCTGCCCAATCTCCTTTCCCTTACCCTTTACCCTCCATTTCAACTTTTTGATCCCTGAAAATAATAGCAACTGCCCAGAAATTTAATTTTTACCAGGTCACGAAGGGCCCCGCTAATTCTGCTTTTCAACCACAGTGGCAAAGTCATTTACTCAGTATCACATTCTGAACTCCAAGCGTAAGAATGGCACCAAATATATATAGAAATAGGCATAGAAGAGACACTGCAGATTTAAATCAATAAAGGTAAAAACAGTTATGGTAAGAGCACAAAGAAGAACCTCAGAGGAGTTTCCAGAAAGAGGAAGAAAACTAGACAATTATTCCATACAGTTAGTGTCATTGCTGACTCTAGAGACTGGAATTTGAAGTAAATTATAATTTATCAAAATACAAAGTGGCCATAAAGATCTATCATCCAAACCAGAACACTAGAGAGTATATAACACATGTAAAGTGAGACTATCCCCAAGCAACCTGGGATGTATGATCGCTCGATCCACAAAGATTTAAGTGTGATGTGTGTGACTACTTACCATAATATTTCCCTACCCTTGAATACTGTAGTTGCCAGATCACTATGGGCTAGTTTTAGTCTGGCAACAAAATCAGAGCCAGGCATATTTAGTTCAGATTTAGTTCTGTTAAGGGCGAAGGAGGAGGGAGGTAAAAGCAAAGGGCTTAGCAAAAAATTTCAGCTCTTTTCAGGCAATGGGAACAACTTTTAATCTCAATGCACCAGTAAGGTGTTTTCTTCCCCTTCTTTTTAAATATTGATCTGATTGATTCTTTTCTGCAACATCCTGGAGTACTTTCCTACTGTTTTTTCATCCACCCTCGCCCCCCCCACAATAACTTTATTTTTTAAAACTGAGAGTCAATTACTCATTCACTCAAAACTAACTAAATGTCCACGTTAATAAATGTCATGTTGAGCCAAAACCATGATTTTATAAACCAGAGCAGGAAGTCTTTAACTGTGTTCTGAAAGTTATAAAACAGACTAAACCTTAGAGAAGTTATAATGGTTAAAATAGACCCAAACAATATTTACTCTATAAATGGTTAAAAATATACACACATGAAAATATACACACAGAGAGAGAAATCCCATTTTCTAATTAACATAGTAAAATGAAACTGGAAAATTTATTTTTAAAAACTTTAACATAGATACAAAGCAATTTCCAGAGTCCTCTTAATATCTTGAATGCTGGGAACTTGAAGAAAGCGACTTTAATTAAAGAAGTATACCTTGGTAAATGGCAGCACTTTACATTGATTTTAAAGAGAACTACTTAAAACAAAAAATTTTATTTTTTATGTTAAATCTTCAGATTAATTTTCTAAGGCTTTTACAATTAATTAAGTTTTCATCATTCTAACTTTACCTAAAAATGTAGGGTTTTTCTTAATATAAGTATCCCACCATAGGTTTATTAGCAATAGTAAGGTTCACTCAAGCAAGAAATGTTTAAAACTTCAAAGGAAAATATATAATTATCTCTTGCAAAATCTATCTCAATCTTTCAGGACAAGTTTTGCTTCCCCCTCCCCTTTAATTTATGTCTTGGTTTAGTGATCATCACTCAGATCCCCAAACTGCTGACTTCATATAATCGGTCTCTTAGCAAAAATACTTGAAACTTGGTTTAGAGATTAGTTAGATACCCAAACTGCTGACCTCACATGGTCTCTTAGCTAAGGTACTTGACATTCAGGCTATATAGAAAGTGGCCTATAGATACTTGTTTCACAGATAGACTGTTCCATAAATCCCAGTAGGCACAGAACTATAAGGAACTGTCTGCTAAGTTTCTTCTTAATCCCATAAAAACATTAATTGAGGTATTTTCTTGTCTTAAGATAAATATTTAAGGAGAAAAAAAAATGAGTTTCAAATAACTGATTAAAATTAGACCTCTCTGACTTTTACATTCTCTGAGGACTTCCTTTAGTAACTTAAATATCTACAAATATCTTGTATGATTCCAAGAAAAACAAAAACAGGACTATTTTAGCAAATGTATAGGACAAAATAGTATGCAATGAGAAATTGGGATCACAGAATAATCAAATGTATTGCTGTTACATTTTTACTAGTTATAAAAATGACTTATCCTTCAGTAAAAGAAAACTTTCTACTTCATTTAACCTAGCCTATTAATTTCTTGTGGTGTATAATTTGGGAAATGCTTATGTAAAAGCATATTTAAAAGTAGACCAAATTAAGCTAAATACATAAATACATGATTCAATGAAATCTATGTCTAAAGCAAAGCTGTAACATAACCACAGGAGAAAAAAATGTAAAATCAGATATTCTACAAGAAATAATTATGACGCCCTAACCGGTTTGGCTCAGTGGATAGAGCGTCAGCCTGCGAACTCAAGGGTCCCAGGTTCGATTCCTGTCAGGGACATGTACCTTGGTTGCAGGCACATCCCCAGTGGGGAGTGTGCAGGAGGCAGCTGATGATGTTTCTCTCTCATCGATGTTTCTAACTCTCTATTCCTCTCCCTTCCTCTCTGTAAAAAAATCAATAAAAAATATATTTTTTTTAAAAAAAGAATTATGACATAAGATATCCAAAAAACCTCAAAGTTTTTAGTGTTTCTTTACAAATAAATGCCTATATCCCAATAAATGTTCCTCATATATTATTTTTACTGTTGAGTTCTTCTAGAGTCAAAGTCCACAATTCATGCTTGAAGCATGTGCTTTTAGTAAATAAAATCTATCAAGTCCCCATTTCCTATGCAATTAATAACCATACTCAGGTAGAAAACTACATAATAGAAATCTGTGGGGAAAAAGCTATATTTGTTTACATAGTTTATAACAGTATTAACTAAGAACGGGCACTGCAGTTCTAAAATGCTATGGCCCTGCATCAAACTAAGCCAGAAGGCCAGAGTACAGTTAAAAGGGTATAGACAAAAACAGAGCAAACTTAAGACTATGCCCATTTGACTTCATTAGCACAACCTGAACTAATAATGGAGTCCAACTCTGAATGGGTCAGTTAATTTATTTAAAATGTCACTGAGGAATTATATAAGGCAGGATAAAAGAGACCTATTTTACTATACTGTTATTACTTTTTTTTTATATATTTGGGAATATGTGAACACCTTTTTTCCTGAAATATAAAGGCTGAGAAAACGTTGTATTGAGGGTAATATAACCCAAAGTACAACATTTCTTAAACTTTGTAATTGCTCCATCAAGGACAATTAACCACTATAGAAATGTAATAAGCAGAGGGCCTGCTAGTGTGCCATTTACTAACAGATAATGTCTGGGGGAGATACATGGAGTACCACTAGATGCTTACTAGGAAGCAACCAGGAGAATATACTTATGTGCCTTGGGCACAGTAGGGGGGAAAAAACATACCTGCCTTTTACTGCAACAGTCTATTGCTGGCTTGAAGCAGGTTACAAAGAAACTTCCCAAAGTAAAAAAGAAAAGCTCTTAAGATTTAAAAACAAAGTGATGTAGCAGGAAAATGGATGGTTCAGTTCATACAAGCCAGGTAATTTCCACAGTTGTTGATAGATGGACACTTAATTCTGTATTACTATAAAACTTAGTTTTGTTCCCATCAATGCAATTCAAGATTAAAAACAGAAAGATGTTAGGAAATTATTTAAGTATGGTATTATCTTAATATAAATCTAAAAGTCAGGTTTTACAATTAGAATTGAGAAGAAAAATAAAAACCATTGCTCTCATGATATAACTATAGACTAATCAAAAGGGACAGAAGAATAGAGCTAAAATAACAAAGTAAAGAATAATAATTTAACTGGTTTTTTTATTGCCAAAAATGCTGTACAAATTTTATAAATGTAGATTTGGGTACTAATTTTTCCTTTCAGAAAATGTGTTTTAATTGCTGATGTCTTTTGGTCAAAACAATACCACTTCAGGTAGAAGCCCACCAAAAAAACTTTAAGTTTGCTTTAAGCTTTGCTCATACCTGACATCAAAGGAAATCTGCCTAAATAGGATAAAGAACAGTCAACTCAATATTGGTCACATTTTGATTGTTATTTGTTTGCTCCATTTTGTTCTTTATCTTGTTTAATTTTTACTTTTTAAAAAAATATTTTTTATTGATTTCAGAGAGGAAGGCAGAGGGACAGAAACATCAATGATGGGAGAGAATCACTGATAGGCTGCCTCCTGCACACCCCGTACTGAGGATTGAGCCTGTAACCTGGGCATGTGCCCTTAAATGGAATTGAACCCGGAACCCTTCAGTCCCCAGGCCTGTGCTCTATCCACTGAGCCAAACCAGCTAGGGCTCATTTCTATTTCTTTAAATAATGTCATATCTCACTTGGAGATTGTTTTTTCTCACTCAAATTACAACAGAGATTATCTATACCTACTGTCATTGCTCCTCATTTGATATACTTCAGTTAAGGCCCTAGCATGTTCATTCCTCTGTAATCTATAAGACTCATGGCCAGATGTTGCTTACTCATTCTGATAGGTCTTCTTACTCCTGCAAAGACTACCAGCACCTCAAAACAACTTCATAAGTCTGCCTTCTGTTAGTAGGGACTATTTACTAGTTGACTCATTTCCAACAATTTTTCTTTATTAAAAAAAAAGTTTAGTTTCTCTTCTTTAAATATTTTTAAAAGATGATCAGAAAGGAAGCCTAAAGTACATCTTAAATGGACTAGAACTGAATGTTCTTTGAAGGTGAACATAATTCATTATTTTGTTTGCCTTTTCAAATACTAATTACAACAAACTGCCAAAAATATAGTATTAGTAGATTTGATAAATGAGTAACTAAATAGACAAAGATTTGCTCAGAATATTTAACTAACTTAAAAACATTTAATAAACTCTTACTATATGTATTGAGGCAATGAAAGGTACCAGGAAAAAAAAGAGAGTTCTAGCCTTCAAAAGCCTCTGCCTAGGAGGGAAGAGAACATGTGAACAGATTATCACAGTAGAGTTAGGTATAAAGTACTCTGAAAACATCCTACAATAATAAAAGGCTAATATGCAAATAGACTAAACGCAGAACCACCAAACAACTGGTCGCTATGACATGCGCTGACCACCAAGGGGCAGAGCGTGGAACATGGTAGGCATGGGCCGTAGCGGGATGGTGGAGCAGGTGAGTGGGGGCGCCAGACCAAGGCAGGGCGCCAGTTGCTGTCATCGGAGCGAGCCTCTGGTGGTTACTGAAAATTCTTTGCTCCCGAGTGCCATGGTCCTTCCTGGCGATTGCACCTGCTGCCAGCACCAGCCCCGCTCGCACCCACTGCTGGCAGCAAAGCTGCTATTTGCACCCGCTGCCGGCACCAGCCCTGATCGCTCGGTGCCATCAGTGGGTGCAAGTGGCGGCTGCTGGCCCCGATCACCCCTCAGGGCTTCTCCACCCATCCCTGCTCCTGAGCAGCGATCGGGCCGGCAATCGCCTCTCACACCTGCTACCAGCGCCAGTGCCGGAGCAGCTGCTCACACCCACTGCTGGTGCTGGTCCCAATCGCTCAGCGCCGTTAGCAGGTGCTAGCCGCGGTTGCCATCCCCAATCGTCCCTGAGGGCTTCTCCACTTCCCCCTGCTTCTGAGGGGTGATTGGGGCAACAGCCACCGCTTGCACTCACTGCTGGCGCTGGCCCCAATCGCTCCACACACCAGGCGGGGGTGTGGAGGATGGGCCAAGACCTACCCCTGTGCCCACCGCAGCCTCACGGCCCCACAGTTTCTTTCAAGGTGCACAAATTCGTGCACTGGATCCCTAGTAATAGATTCCACAATGAGCAGTTTGTTCATAAATGATCTATCACTTTGTGGTAAGTGGCTACACAGGCTACTTTCGTGGGAGAACATTAAACTCATCCCCTTTAAGATCTCAAAAAATTATATATTCCAAATACTCTATTAACTTTTCATTAACTCTCAAAGGCTGAATGTACCATGGTTAGCCCCTTTTCATCATTATATGCCAACTGTATAGCTTACTATTGTGATTACAGTCTCTAGGACACCACCCAATAACAGAAAAATACTAGCAAGAAAATCTGTTACTTTGTTCTACTCACACTAATTCTCTAATCACACACACACACAGAAGGCCCTCTTTTAAAAGTACTAAACCATGTAATCTACAGACCTAATGAACATATTAAGTTGCATAGGTAGTATCATTATATCCAAGAACAGTTTATAAAAGAATTAGAAAGGCCACCAGAATATACCTATGTCTAGGACAGTGTTGGCGAACCTTTTGAGCTCGGCATGTCAGCATTTTGAAAAATCCTAACTTAACTCTGGTGCCGTGTCACATATAGAAATTTTTTTATATTTGCAACCATAGTAAAACAAAGATTTATATTTTTGATATTTATTTTACATATTTAAATGCCATTTAACAAAGAAAAGTCAACCAAAAAAATGAGTCCGCGTGTCACCTCTGACACGCGTGTCATAGGTTCGCCATCACTGGTCTAGGAGATCCAGACAGTGGGTTCTGTGTTATTAGCTAAGTAGGCAATAAGTTTTATAGAATGGGTCATCTATTAATAATTCCATATCATTTAAATGTCACAGCATTTCATTGGGTCATGCTGACATTGTACTGTGACATACTATAAATAAGAAAACAAATATACCATTCATTAGTATTTCCCCAATAAAAAATCTTTTTAAATGTGAACAATCATGATATAGCAACCTTTTAATAATCAGGTATTAAATCAAGCATTTTCTTTATCCACAGGAGACAATGACAAGTTCTACTCTAAATCATGTTATTTAGTAGTAATTTGTACTCTAAGTCAGAGTAAAGCAAAATTATTTATTTATTTGAAGTGAAATTAGATTACCCAGGAGTAAGTATCTGGACAAGTAAAGGTCTAAACACAGTCTTTAAAAGTTTAAAATCACTTTTTCCTCCATAATCACTACCAACATACTGCAGTCATTGGCATACTTACCACACTGACTGAATTTTTCTTTTAGTTTCTGCCAAGTCAAGTCAAAAGGCAGCTAGAATGAAAAAAGGTATTAGTAACAGATATACAAGGCACAAAATAATTTTAAGTATCCTTTATATTTAGTTGCTTACATTTCTGACAAATATCTGGTTGCCTTTGGAGCCTATTCTGTCTCTCATTCCGCTTCCCATGGGACCTGATAGGAATCCTCGATCCATATCGATGCTTCTTTCCAGTATTGCTCCTATACCTGGTCCCATTCTATCAAAGCTGGAGCTCATCCGATCCAGTCCCATCCCCATTCCTCCAGTCACACTGTTCATGCCACCCATTCCACCACCTGGATTTTCAGGAAGGGATGAGAGGATTTGGAAGTTTGGTGTTTTTATTTTAAAATCAGAAGGAGAAGGAAGAGGAAGAAAGAGAAGAAGAGGGAAAGAATCATTTTTGAGAAAGAAAGGAAGAGAAAAATTAATTTGTTTATGTAATTAGATAATATGTAAGCATTAAAATTATTTCATACACACAATTTAACAATATTCCAAGGAACAGAATTTAATTTGGTATACATTTGGTTAGTTGAATGTTAATGGCTAATTGAATTTGTTAATTTTAGCCAGTACATAATACATTATATACATATACTTCTATAAGTTACTGAATACTCTGATCATAAAGTTCATCAAATATGTTATATAGTTTTTCTACCAATTACTTTATCCATTAATGTTATAGTATTTATCCTCATTTTTATTTTCTAATAATGCACCAAGCTTAAAAATTGCTAGAACAAAAATAAATGGGGCAAATTCAAATCATTCAACTCCAACACACCAACTGTTGCTCTCATCATACTCTCCTACATAATATTATTTCCCTAGCTTCCCTTTCACCTCAGTTTCACATACAATTTCTTTCTGAATCAATTCAATTTTCAATAACCATGGAAACATATAACTTTTAATCCAATGTTATACAAAACTTGAGGTAGCAACAAAAAAATGAAATCATACCCTTTTAGCCAGAACTTGAGAATTTAGCTCAGAGCACATATGTACTTCATTCTAGGTGTTGAGTCCTCTTTAAATATCCTAGTCCTACTCATTCTCAAAACTTATCCTTTTTTCTCATACCTAAAATCCGCATACATAGAAATTCTAAAAATTAACATCACCCTCAAATTGTCTTTTGGTGGGTAACAAATATAAAATTAGCGAAAAAGTATAAACACTGAGGTGAAAACCAGAAGGTAGGGAAGTTAGCATTAATAGGAAAGTGGCCAGGGCTGAAAAGATGATGAAAAGAAGGAATAACATGAGAAGCAAAGGACAATGGAAATAGGTATCTTCTGCTGACAGGATTTATGAACTCACTTAGAACAGTTCAAATAGACTATGTTTCCTATTGGTGATTTTTCAAACAATTAAAGGAAGTCAATAAGGTACGGAGAGCTCATAGAGACACGATTCAATAAGCAACAGAAGTCAAAAACTAAGCTATGTGTTAAGCCTTAAGGCATAAAATGTTGTAGTGGAAACAGATGGAAGAGATTCAGCACTCCCCAGTGTTTCAACTACTCTTGATTCTACCACAGGAAAGGTTTAAGAGGAGAGGAAATATGCATCTCTTTCAACCTTATCCCTCAACTTCAGGTCTCTCTCTAGAAGAGTTATATGTGGGGAAATTCACCTGTGTCTTCCAAAAGACAAAGGTATTCGCAGGTGAAATAAACTAGAAACCAATAGCAATTGTAGAGAATAAGCAAGGGAACTAAGTTGGTGCAAAGGTAAAAGTTGTTTTTGACACATGGTTAGAGAAATCCCCAGATTTCTTAGTTGGAAAGGAGATTCTTGGGTTGTCTTATGGTTAACACATACTTTGGTGTTAGTTTAGAAATATCAAAGAAGTAAAATTCGAAGTTATTTAGAAATTTCAGTGATCAAACAGAAAAGCTCAGTAAGTATCAAAGTTTCTCTAAATTATAATAAGACATTAACATATAAGAACAAAGTATTACTATACTACAATAACTACTCTTGCAGTCATTTGCAAGCATACAAATATTACTGAATAAATTCTAGTAAAATTTAAACCTACTTATTCCAGATCCTACTGGACCCATGTTAGAAGCTCCTATTCTTCCTGCAAACCCTCCAATCATTGCACTGCCTAAACAAGGATGGAAAGATAACACACTAATTAATTTAAATAATCATACTTCAAAAGTCCCAAGGTACTATGCTCTCAGAAGATGTACAGTAACTGAAAAGTACAGTCTTCTAGAAATAGGGTTCAAATGTGTAAGACAGTGAAAAAGAGAGCTAGTACATTAAAATCCATAAAGTGTTTTTCTTCTAGTAATAAACTGTGTGAAATATTATAAATTTCCAATTTTTCACACGAAAAGGAGAAACATACTTTAAAAAAATAGAACCTGCGTAAAGAAAAGAAGTATGCAGCCAGCCTACCAAGTCTACCAAAGGAATCTCCAAAGCCTCGATTTATTCCAATATCACCACGTCCAAAATCTCTCTCCACGCTACTAGTCATTGCACCACGGTATAGCTCTGAAAAAATCATGCAACAAATTAACCCCTTTTCAAGTATATCAATAAACAGTAATTCATTGAAACTAAAGTGACAGCAAAAGTGACAAATACAAAAAAGGTCTGTGATGTACCCAACTTACCTCACATGCTACATATATCTCATTTCACTGTGCCTGTCCCTATTACCAATGCCCACAAATGCCCTCTGAAGACATCTATAGTACCCACCCCTAAGTATGGGGGGCACATCTATGTATATAAAAGCCTAAGCGACCGTTAGGAGAGAACGACCGGAATGACTGGAATGACTAGTTGACCAGTTGCTATGATGCACACTGACCACCAGGGGGCAGATGCTCAACGCAGGAGCTGCCCCCTGGTGGTCAGTGCACTCCCATGGGGGAGTGCCACTCAGCCAGAAGCCGAGTTCACAGCTGGTGAGCGCACCTGCAGTGGTGGGAGCCTCTCCTGACTCCGCAGTAGCACTACCAAGCGGCGGCAGCAGGTGCAGCAAGCTGGGATGAGTGCGAGCAGCACAGCATATGGCCCTGGTTCTGGCTCCTCCCTGGCCACCTGCTGCTTGGCGCACTGCTACATCCCTGAGCGGATGTCCGACGGCCGGTTTATGCCCAATCCCCACTGGCCTGCGGGGATCAAGCCTAAACTGGCAGTCGGACACCTATCTTGCAATCTGGAACCCTTTGGGGGCCTAAACCAGCAGGCAGACATCCCCCAAGGGGTCCTGGATTGCAAGAGGGTGCAGGCCAGGCTGAGAGACACCCCAGCAGTGCATGAATTTCGTGCACCGGAACTCTACTTTTTAAATATTAAGTTAAACAAAATGTAGCATATAAAACCCACTACATACATTTACCTACCTCCCATCCGGCCAACTCCTCCAAATCCTCCCATGCTATTCATTGCTTCCAGACCACCAAACCCAATTCCTATGGAATAAAGATTAATTTTGAGATGTGGCTATCAGTTGTCTAGCTAAAAGATGCATTTGTAAAGTTAAGTCTCACCAGTAAGCTCTTCATCTACTCTACCTTGTGCACATCACCTTCTATATCCCTTAAGTATGTACCAGGCTCAATTTTCTGCTATTTTTAGAAAGTGAGCCAACAATAAACCATGACTTTTTTCCCTTGGAATTCTCAATACAGTTCCTTATTTACTAAAAATGGTGATGGGTACATACAAAAAACAGGTACTTATACATACCTCCTCCAATTCTATTCATTCCTCCAAAACCTGGACCATCCATTCCCATACCTCAAATAAAATACACAGTATGTACTTCAGTAATCTTATTTTTATGACTAAAGAATGACATAATGTAATAAAATAAAATAGATACCACTGGTTTAGTCACAATGGAACACTAAGAGAAGCAGCAGGACATAGGTGGGATGGTTTAAAGTGCTATACCACAGCAGATGTCTAGTCATGAGTCTTCAAAAAGGCTTCTTTGAATATTTATTAGAAAAGAAAACAAAATTCACTGGTCACATGCATGTTCACTTAGAAAATATCTAGGACTAGATTTTTATTTTTTATTTTTGCAGAGCAGACAAAAGATATCACTATCACTGATTTTTCCCCCCCCAGACAAACAAAGAAGTATCACTATAGCAGATTTAGACATCAGGTCAGAATCCTCTACACATGATAGCTAAGGGAGCAATAAGAAATTAAAGAATAAAAATAGTATGTGTTTAAGACGTTGGAAGATCTAACAGTAAGGAAGAAAATCTCCATCTGTTTGGATCAAAATGATTAGCATAACTATTCCCACAATTTAAAGTGTAGCTATAGCATCTCAAAAAAAAAAAAAGGGAATCTGATCACACTTATTAGTCTATCAATTAAAATAGCAGTTCTCAAAGTATGGTCTGGGGACCATGGAGGGCCCAATAGGTCAAAACTATTTCACTCATACTAAGATACTATTTGACTGTTATACTCTCATTCTCTCATGAGTATAATGTGGAATTTTCCAAAAACTACATGATATATGATAGTGTAACAAACTAAATGCGGAAAATACAAATAGCATCATTGTCTTGCATTAAGCCCAACATTAAAGAGATGTACAAAAAGGTAAAACAATGCCACTCTTCTAATTCTTTTGTGTTGGAAAATGTAATTTATTTTCCTAAAATGTATATTTATGGCCCTGGCCAGTGTGGCTTAGTTGGTTGGGTGTTGTTCCATGCACCAAGGGGTTACTGGTTCAACTCCTAGTCAGGGCACATGCCCAGGTTGTGGGTTCAATACCAAGTAGGGGGCATGGAGGAAGCAGTTGATCAATGTTTCCCTCTAGCATCAATGGTTCCTCTTCCTCTCTCCCTCTCCCTTCCTCTCTCTCTAAAAATCAACTTTAAAAATCTTTTTTAAAAAGTGTATTTATGCCCTAACCAGTTTGGCTCAGCAGATAGAGTGTCGGCCTGCGGACTCAAGGGTCCCAGGTTCAATTCCAGTCAAGGGCATGTACCTTGGTTGTGGGCACATCCCCAGTGGGGAGTGTGCAGGAAGCAGCTGATCGATGTTTCTCTCTCATCGATGTTTCTAACTCTCTCTCCCTCCCCCTTCCTCTCTGTAAAAAATCAATAAAATATATATATTTTTAAAAAGTATATTTATGATAAAATAATGGATTTATTATTTTTAAATGAATTTATAAATGTTTTAATTTCTAATATAGTAAATATTAATATAACCATATAACTAAAAGTACTTTGGAGCCCTCAACAAATTTTAAGAGTATAAAAGAGTTCTAAAACCAAAAAGTTTAAAAACCAATTTTCAAAAATAAACTGTAAGTTAGTTCAGGTGAAGAGCTGAATGCTATGTAAAAAGCTACCTACCCAACTGAATATGCAAATTTAAATTGCTTATTATATAGTAGACTTTCAGCCATTCCACATATAATGTATATCTATGATATGCAAGGCTCTATGTTGAATATTCACCTTCTGCCTTAAAACCATTTCAAAACTCCACAGTGCTAAAAGACCAGCTACAGTACAGCTGGGCTCAGAGAAAACCTCCTGACATTTGCCCATCCTCTTTCATGTTCTCTGCTCCCCAAAGTTTCATCCCTTTTTTAAACTGAAGTGACATCCTAAATATCAACTATAAATGCAGTCTTTAAACATTACTACAAACTAGTAAATGTGAGTTTAATGACCTAGCAAATGTGTAATTTAAAAAGAAATAAAGTTAGAGTACTGACCAGTTGGACCTAAATTTCCCATTACACCACCTATGTTCAACTGGCTGGCACTAATAGGCTGTCCACCTGGACCAAGTCCCATTCCAATGCCTCCAAGACCACCTGAAACACAAATATAATAATATTACCAATCCAGCTATGATTATCTAACTGGCACTACAATTTTTTCAAGAGCTATAAGCCTGTAAATTTAAATGTAGTATCCCTAAAACTTCACAAATTTGTAAATAAGACCACTGGTTCTTGTTTTCACTGGAATGCAGCACAGTGAACCCTCACTATAATCCTATCTAATAAAAGAGTAATATGCAAATTAACCATCACTCCGTCACTCCATCACAGAGATGGCAATGGCCATGGAGCTGGAGCAAGCAGGAGGGTTGGGTTGCCCCAGGTGATGGAGGAAGCCAAGCTTCCCGCCTGCCCTGGCCAGCACTGGGCTCCACTCAAGGCTACTAAGTTTCAATTACAGAAGATAAATAAATCCCAGATACCTGCTTTAGCTGGCGGTGGCCTCTGCTCAAGGAGGGACTGGGAGCCTAGATTACCAGGGGCAACCCAGGATTCCAGCCGACCTGGTCTCCGCTCAAGGCTACAAAGTTTCAATTATAAAGATAAATAAATCCCAGAAAAAAAGAAAAAAAAGAAAAAAAAGGAGAGGCTGGGGATTGGGTCACCGGGGGGCGTGACCAGCCTGAAAATGGCCCTCAGCCCTTCACCCAGGCTGGCCAGGCACCCCAGCGGGACCCCCCCCCCACCCTGAAGGGGCTGTGGCCAGCCTGAAAACGGCCCACAAAAAAACAATATAAAGTATAAATGTAGCCCTAACTGGTTTGGCTCAGTGGATAGAGCGTCGGCCTGCGGACTGAAGGGTCCCAGGTTCGATTCCGGTCAAGGGCATGTACTTTAGTTGCAGGCACATACCCAGTAGGGGGTGTGCGAGAGGCAGTTGATCGATGTTTCTCTCTCATTGATGTTTCTAACTCTCTATCCCTCTCCCTTCCTCTCTGTAAAATATCAATAAAATATATTTTTTTAAAAAAAGGTATAAATGTAATAGAGCAGCGGTTTTCAACCTGTGGATCGCAACCCTCACCCAGGCTGGCCAGGCACCCCAGCAGGACCCCCACCCTGATCTGGGACACCCTTCAGGGCAAACCAGCTGGCCCCCACCCATGCACCAGGCCTCTATCCTATATAATAAAAGGGTAATATGCAAATTGATCCTAACAGCAAAACGACTGGGAATGACTGGTCACTATGACACACACTGACCACCAGGGGACAGACGCTCAATGCAGGAGCTGCCCTCTGGTGGTCAGTGCGCTCCCACAGGGGGAGCTCTGCTCAGCCACAAGCCAGGCTGACGGCTGCCAGCACAGCGGTGGTGGCGGGAGCCTCTCCCGCCTCCTCAGCAACACTAAGGAAGTCCAACTGCAGCTTAGGCCTGCTCCCCGCTGGCAAGTGGACATCCCCCGAGGGCTCCCGGGCTGCCAGAGGGATGTCTGACTGCCAGCTTAGGCCCGATCCCCCCAGGGAGCGGGCCTAAGCCAGCAGGTGGACATCCCCAGAGGGGTCCCAGACTGCGAGAGGGCACAGGCCGGGCTGAGGGACCCCCCCCAACTGAATAAATTTTTGTGCACTGGGCATCTAGTACCATCTATAATAATAAAAGCATAATATGCAAATCGACCGAATGGCCAAACAGAATGACTGTCCAGATGACCATGCTATGACACGCACTGGCACCAGGCCAGCCAAGGTGGTAGGACGTGATTGGTCGGGGTGCCCCGCCATTGCCCTATAATCACCCCGCAGAGGGAGGCCCAGGCTACCTGGCCAGCAGCTATGGTGGGTGGGCGGGGCCTCCCTCTGTGGGGCAATTGATTGCGGGGCTCCGAAACTGCGAGAGGGCGTGGGCCAGGCTGAGAGAACACCCCCCAAGTGCACGAATTTTGTCCACCATGCCAGCCTCTAGTTTATAAATAATGAGAGATGTTTTATGAAGCAGTGTACCTTATATCCCAATTAAAGGCATATGGAAAAGGACTAATAAGATACCAAGAGGATTTTGAATATTATATCACCTTATATGTGGTATACATATCTGAAAATGACTTTCTCAAATTTTTAGAACCACTTAAAATCTAAGAATTCCTTTTAAAATGGCTCAAATAAAACTGAAAAGTCAATTACCATGAAAATATTGAATAAAGAAAATGTTATATTATCTACTTTTATCTTTGACATAAATACATATTTATATTTACAATAGAGGCCTGGTGCATGAAATTCATACAAGGGTAGGGTACCTAGGCCTAGCTGGCCATCAGGGCCGATTGGGGCTTTCCAGCTGCCGGCCGGGGCCTCCCTTCCCTGGCTGCCGGCTGCTGCCTGAGGCCTCCCTTCATTTCACACCGCCACCTGGTGGTCAGCACACATCATAGCAAGCGATCGAACTCCTGGTCTCCCGGTCGAACTCCAGAAGGGACACTCTGCATATTAGCCTTCTATATATATATATAGATGGTACTTAAGTGTTTTCACATCTACTATCCATAGATGAGGAAATTTTCGCAGGGGTCGCCTAAGACCATCAGAAAACACATATATAATTACGTATTGTTTTTGTGATTAATCACTATGCTTTAATTATGTTCAATTTGTAACAATGAAATTGGGGGTCACCACAACATGAGGAACTGTATTAAAGGGTCGCGGCATTAGGAAGGTTGAGAACCACTATAATAGAGGATTTACTTTTTATATAAATAAATGAGTATTAATAGTTGAAAGGTAAATTGGGAGATTCTGCATAAAGCCAAGATCTTGAAAGATAACACCCTGAATGAGAAGGTAAACTTGGTGGAGATGGGAAGAATTGCCCTATAAAAGAAGGGGCAATATTCAAAGATACATGTGCTGAGAATTTTCTAGCTTATCCTTTAAAAAGAGTATCCATTTTATGAAAGCTCAATAAATAGTAATCCACACCACTCACACTATAGTGAAAGTGCATACCAAAGACAAAGACCTTTAAAATCAGCTATATGAAGAACACAGCTTACCTATAAAGAAAGGACAATTCAACAGATAGCTGACTTAATAGCAACAATAGAAGCCAGATGACTGGAATATTTTCAAAGTGCTAAGAGAAAATAACTATCAATCTTAAACTATATAACCAGTAAAACTATCTTTGCAGACAAAATTTAGAGAATTTACTAATAAAAAAAAAATTAAAAAAATAAAAATAAAAAAGCTCCGAGAGAGCTTTTAAAATATATGCTTTAGGAGGAAAAATTAGTGCCAGGGTCTAGAGAAATAATGAGACAAAAAAATGTTAAGTACAGTGGGGACCTGACTTATGAGTGTCCTGACTAACGAGTTTTTCAAGATACGAGCCGTCTCTCGGCCGAGTTTTTGCTTTGAGTTGCGAGCTAAAATTCGGGTTATGAGCCAGCTTCAGATACCCCACCGCTAGTTGGCGCAGCAAACGTCACAGTGAACGCCACAACATCAGCCCAGCATCACGTGTCTCACTCGTTCACTTTAAGATTTGACATACGAGTAATGTGAGTTACGAGCTCCGTCACGGAACGAATTAAACTCGTAAGTCAAGGCCCCACTGTAATAATAATATCTGACTTGTGTCATTTTAAAAAAGCAACATAGAAATAAAACACTGAGCAATAATAGCATATAATTCAATAGAAAAATAATTAGAATGAATGCATTCAAAGGTCACTCTACTATTGAGTAAAAGATAAGTACATTAACTTGAGACTTTATAAAGCTATATTAAAATTTCTAAGATAACCAATAAAAGAGAAAAAGCAAGAGAGTAGAAAAAAAGATAATGGGAATTAATCCAAATAAATCAATAAATGTGAATAAACAAAACAAAGCTGTTCTATCTATATTAATATTAGACAAAAGACTAATGAGTAGTTACTAAGTAATAAAATCACTCTATAATGAAAAAAGTTTGATTCATTGGGAAAAAATATATTTTCTAAACTTGGAAGCACTTACTAAGTTAGCTTTAAAATATTTAAAGTAAAAACAAAAAAATAGGCAAATCCACCACTCTGGTGGGAGATTTTACTATCTCTCTCTCTCTCTCTCTCTCTCTCTCTCTCTCTCTCAGTACTTGACAGCACAAGCAAAAAAAAAAAAATTATTAGGAGAGATATAAGACCATTTAAATGACTTAAAAACTTGATTTACTGGACATATACAGAATACTACATACACCAAGCATACCTGGAAAATTTATTAAAATGTGCCATATATTAGTTAGGCCAAAATGCAAAGTCCAAATTAATTCTAAAGAATCACAATGATATAGACCATCTACTCTGGTCACAGTTAAGTTAGAAAACAAGAAGAAATCCTAGTGGTAATTTAATAAAAATTAAATCACAATAAAAATACTCCAGAAAAAAACTTGTGTATAGTGGCTAAATTTATAGTCATAACTACTTATACTAGAAAATAGAAGATGCAAATTAGTGAAATATTCAACTTAAGGAGTTAGGACAAAAATAAGTGACTAAACCCAAACAAATAGAAGAAAATACTAAAGCTTAAAGCAGAAATTAAGATACAGAACACAATGCCTCTTTGAAAGCACTAATGAAAGTGAAAAAAAAAAAAAAAAAAAAAAAAAGAGAGAGAGAAATTGCAAACTTTTGAAACTTAAAAGATAGAACTATAGATATGGCAACATTTTGAAAGAGACCATTTTATGCCAATAAATCTTTAAATGGATAAAAATGGAATAATTCTTAAAAATATAGAAATAACCAAAAGTGGCTCAAGAAGCAATAGAAAATATGAACAGTCAGTAGTTAAAAATCTTCCCCAAAACAATATGCCAAGACCAGACTCTTTTACTCGTAATTTCTAGCAAACATTGAGCAATCATTCTATTAGAAAAAGAACACACACTTCCCAACTTAGTATTATTTCTAATAATAAAAATTAGAATAACTAAAAAACAGAAAAATATATAAAATGTGATATTAGCAGTTAAAATGAATGAACTAGAGCTGCATGTATCAACATGTAACTGAATATCAAAGAAATGATGTTAAACTAAAAACAGCAAGTTGCAGAAAAATATATATGATACGATGTCACACACACCAAATTTTAAATCCAGCAAAATAAATCCATATAAAATTTATGGATGTATAAACATGTAGTCAAATTATTAAAACCTAAAAGATAAACACTATTCATAATAAGTTGTTTCCTTAAGTTATTTACCTGGTGGGAGGTGAGCAGGGGAGTAGAGAAATCTCAACTTTATCTATAAAATTTTATTTTTAAAAAATCATCTAAAACAAATATGATCTATGACAGAACTAGTACATTGAGTAATTTTAAGTTTGTTTGCATATTTAAAATATTTCATTAAAAATTTTAATAATAACCAAAGAAGGTACAGTAAGACAGTTCAAGAGGTAGTATTTATTGAATGCTGATATTATCTGACAACTGTGTTAAGTGCTTTATATATATACTAGAGGCCTGGTGCAGGAAATTCGTGCACTGGGGGGTGTCCAATCTGGGACTTTTTTCCCAGATTGGACACCCCCCAATCTGGGACATCCCTCTCATAATCTGGGACTGCTGGCTCCCAACCACTCGCCTGCCTGCCTGTCTGATTGCCCCTAACAGCTTCTGCCTGCCAGCCTGATCACCCCCTAAACACACCCCTGCCAGCCTGATAGACGCCTAACTGCTCTCCTGCCGGCCCGATTGCCCCCAACTGCCCTCCCCTGCTGGCCTGGTTGCCCCCAACTACCCTCCCCTGCCAGCCTGGTTGCCCCTAACCACCCTCCCCTGAGGCCTGGTCCCCGCCAACTGCCCTACCCTGCTGGCCTGGTCACCCCTTACCGCCCTCCCCTGCCGGCCTGGCCACCCCCAAGTGCCCTCCTCTGCTGGCTTGATTGCCCCCAAATGCCCTCCCCTGCCGGCCCAGTCGCCCCAACTGCCCTTCCCAGCCAGCCATCTTGTGCCCACATGGGGCGGCCATCTTGTGCAAGGGTGTGATGGTCAATTTGCATATTACCTCTTTATTATATAGGATTAACTTATGCAATACTCATGCCAATCCCATGAAGTAGGTACTATTATCATCCTCATTTTACAGATGCTCTATTGAGACACATGTGTTAAGTACACTACATTGTGGTTTTATAATCCTTTGGAAAACATTTTGATAATACTGATCAATGAGTACACTTTGAGAACCTGTAAATCTACTTCAGGATATTTATCTTAAGGAAATAACCAAAAACATACCAAATATTTGTAGACAAAAGTGCGTGAATTACTGTATTTAGGGGAAAAAAGTTAGAACACCTAAATATACAAAACAGTGAAATAGTTATGGAACATCCATATAATAGAATATTATACATCTGATAAAAGTATTTGGAAAGAATTTTCAACATGGAATAATACTTATACTTTATGTTGAACAAAAAAATACAAAATTATTACATGGTAATTCTCAACTATGTAAAAAATATACATAGAAGGAAAGACTGGAAAAAAATACCAAAAAATGTTATAATGGAGGTTGCTTGTGGGTGGTAAAATTACAAAGAGGTTTTTTTTCCCCCTCATGTATATAAACTAACCAAATTTTTTAGTATATATATTGTATTTTTACAATGAGGAAAAACTACCAAAAAGAGAAAAAAATGGCAAATATTTATCTTCTCAGTCTTCCTAATCAATCATGCCAAACTATCTCCATAATTCTAAACTAATTCAAAACCTTGGGCAATCTGGAATGAAAAAAAAAACAAAAAAAACTCTTCTGCTTAGCACATAATGAAATTGAAAAACAATAGTTTGTATTGTTTTTAATGGCTTTTACTTACGTGGTAATTGTGGTGTTTTACTGTCATGTGAACGATAGTCTTCATGAGGGACAGACTTGTCATCCTATTTGTAAAAAAATTGATTATAAGGTTACTATATAATGAAAATGATCTGAAATGTAGAGGACAGCAGATAAAAGATTTGAAAAGTTTGGAGAGATGAAGTGATATATAGGAACTCACCATTTTCACATGCATAGGTCTATCAAACAAAAACTGCCCATTGAACATAGCTGTTGGTTCAGTCAAGGAAAGCCAGTTAAGACAACTATAAAATTATACTTGAATACAAACATTTTTAATAATCCTATTGAGTCAGACTATCTTTAATATTTTACTCATTTGTATTAGACTCTTCCATATATTCAAAAACTTCAATTCTTTGTTTTACAGTTTGATTTTATATATAAACTGTAATCTTTTAATTCAATCATTGAAAAATAAAAATTAACAAGGCTTCATTTAAAGCAATTGTATTAATTTACAATAGATTGCATAACTGTCAAGAGCATGTATATACACAATTAATTGTGGCAGGAAGAAAAAACAGAAAAAGGTTCATACCAGGCCTGGGCAATATAGCTAATTCAAGTTTTAAGAGTGACTTTAGTACTTGGACATAGAAAAGGTTTTACGTACTGGAGACTAAAGTCTAACACATATTTCTAAACCAGGAAACCTTAAATTCCAGGACTCCCAAAAAATGGTATTAAGCTTCTTCAACCTTATTAAATAATCCTAAAGTGTAAATCAGGATACAAATTGCTTGAACTGCTTCAATTGCTTGTTCAAAAGTGACTGTGCCCATTCCTCTGCTCTTGCCATCTTTGTCTTCTTTAATATCTGCCCGCTTTACAGTTCCAGCTATGCTGAACACTTCCTTTAGCTTCTTCCAACCAACTTTGAAGTCAAGCTTAATATAAAATTATATAAAGTTATGTACCTAATAAAACCCTCCCCATTTATAAATAATAAACAAATCTTTTCTAAACTCTCAAAACTATAAAGAACTGTAATTCTTGTTAAGCAGTATATCAATAATATTCAAATAAAAAGATCTTAAGTTGTTTAAAATTAGTTAAGCTACATCTATGTTGTTCCTTATCCTTAATTTTTTTTAATTCCAAAAACAGTCTCTCACCTACTCGATCCTGTTTTGTACATTTGAAATTTGCACACCTATTTTTACTGAAAGAAATTCATATTTTGGAAAGTATTGTTGATCACTGACTTTCAAAAGCTTAGAACAAATGACAAACCAACTACAACATGCACATTCACAGACATCAAATATTAAAGCTAAGGAAATCCATTTACCAATATGAACAAAAGTCACATAAAATAAAAGAACTGCTAAGTGTTTATAAATTCCACAGTTCTTTTTAAAAAATTCTAAATGCTTTTATATACACTCTATATAATTAATATATATAATTAAATTAGGTTTCAGCTTACAATAATTATGTTTGGCTTACTTTAGTTAAAAATAAAATGTTCTATAAAGCTATAACCCATTTATCTAAATAAATAATCTCATAATTAGAACTATATCTGAATGACAAAATTTTAGACTAAAGCTTAAACTTACATTAGCAACAAAAATTGTGGAACCAAGTCTACCAGCCTGCAAATTACTGATAACCTCAGGAGGAATGTTTGGATTATTCAGAATGGAAGGTGGTAAATTCATCAACCCCGATCCCACATCGGGTACATGTCCTCCTGGAAATGATCCTCCTGTTCGTTGCAATGCCCTACGAGCATTTTCTCCATCAGGATCCTATAACACACATTGAATGTTAAATGCCACTAGATACATCAGAAAGTCTACACAATTAAAACAACAACTTCAAATTCTACAGTAGCTATCCCATCTGGGTTAAATTACTGGCCCTCTTAAAGAGTGAGCTTTTTTTCTCATCCAAAAACTTCAGTCCCATAAAAACCTGTGGACAGAGGACAGATAAAGGATTACAGTCTCCAGGAATGTAAATTAAATACCTCTTTCCAATCACTAAAGTCACTTAAGAACTTGAAATTAGTTTAATTTTTCCCTGTACTAGTGTAAAAATATAGCACACATACACATAACTCAAACTCTTTTCTTTCCCAAATTCACTATTAGTGAATTGTTACCACTACATGACCAATGCAGACAAACTGAGACTAACTCAAAGCTTTTATAATAGCAGAACAAAATATTATAAAACCCAGGAATATTGGGGTAGAGGGGAATTATGACAATGTGCAAATTTCACTCCTGAACAAGCAAAATATAATTATCCACTTTTCAACCTCTTTCCCTCCTCAACATGATTATGATGTAAGATGGGGGAGGAGGAATAAAGAAAGGCTAAGTGTCCCAATGAAGAATGATAGCAAACAATGGGGTTTTTTTTACTTAATTAACTTTATAAGAGAAATATTCTACCTTTAAATCAAAGAAAAGTAAGTTCAAACATACTTCTCACTCATCTCACTAGATGAAATGCAAAAAATAAAAAAGCCAAAAAGCACATAAACACATTAATAGGCTATTGCATCTGCAATACCAAATGATTATGATATACGTAAGCATCAACTCTACTCTGCTGGCCTGTCTGGGAATACTAATAAAAAGAAAGTTTGGTGACTTTAATACATTCCCTAGGTAATAAATTCTCTAGGAAGGCTGGGAGAATAGAAGGTGAAAAAGTGAATGCAAGAATAAATGTATTCTGGCTTCCAATATATTGTTTCACCATGAAGAATAAAAAGAAATACAGAAGTAAAGAAATAAGTGTTTTTAGAGAATGCTATAAAATAATAAATGTTTCAGGTCTAAGGTTTCAAAATCTTGCACAAACACAAAATTTAAGATTGTGGTTACCTATGAAGGAGAACACAGTAGAATAAATGCTTCATGAACTATTAAGATAGGTTGTTTGTTCTTATCGTAACATTAATAAAATATATTACTAGGTTTTGATTTGTGTTTTATATACATAACATATATAAACATATACACATATATAAAACATATATACAATACAATTTATATAATACAAATTGTATATAACATAGTTTTTATTCCTCCTTTTCCCTTGGATGTCAGCATGCTAGTTACTGCCTGCTATTGCTAAAAGAAAGCCAATAGTAAGTTTACAACTGTTACAAACCCCCAGTGAATTATATGAAGTGAAATTCTAATACCTGTCAATGAATCCTAGAAATAAACTTTTCCTTACCAGTGATGGCGAACCTATGACACGCATGTCAGAGGTGACACGCGAACTCATTTTTTTGGTTGATTTTTCTTCGTTAAATGGCATTTAAATATATAAAATAAATATCAAAAATATAAATCTTTGTTTTACTATGGTTGCAAATATCAAAAAATTTCTATATGTGACACAGCACCAGAGTTAAGTTAGGGTTTTTCAAAATGCTGACACGCCGAGCTCAAAAGGTTCGCCATCACTGCCTTAGACTCTCACTAGTAGGTCTCAGCACTGACCCAACCACCCATTGGAAAATCAGTTATTCCCAGAAACGGGACCTTTAGTGATATTAATCCAAAAAGTTAACTGAATAAAGAACATCTCATCATTTACTTAGGCCAAACTATACCATTAATTCCTCTTAGAAAGGTTTAAAATGGAAGTATGCTTTATAGGCATGGATCACATAACTCTATTTTAGGGTCTCTGAAATATTATTGAGGATCTACAATTTGCTAAAACTTAAAAGAAGACAAACTATATGGACCTGGTCTTTAGAATCCAATAAACTTTGTTTCCAATTAAAATTAAAGACACTAAAAATCTAGAATACTTGTCTTCCCAGTTAGAGAAAAAACTAACCCAGGTTCAAACAGGATTAGAGGAATTCAGAAGCAAACTTGAATAAAGGGGGTTTGGGATACCTGTATATGTTGGTAGCATGGCCTTTCATTTTAAGCTATAACAGGCACTGATTATCCACAGTTCTGCTTTCCTTGGCTTCAGTTACCCACAGTCAACACAATTAGAAAATATTAAATGGAAAATTCAGAAATAAACAATTCATAAGTTTTAAATTGTGTGCTGTCCTGAGTAGTGTGATGAAATCTTGTGCTGTCTCACACTATCCAACCTGGGACATGAATCAGACCTTTGTCCAACATCTTCCACACTGTACACACTACCCACCCTTTAGTCACTTAGTAGCACCTCAGTTATCAGATCAACTATCATGGTATTACAGAATCTGTGTTCAAGTGACCCTTATTTTACTTAATCATGGCCCCAAAGTGCAAGAGTAGTGATGCTGGCAATTCAAATATGCCAAAGGGAAGTTGTACAGAGCTTCCTTTAAGTGAAAAGGTATGTATGGGTAAAAAAAAACAAAAAAACTTAGTATATTTAGGGTTCAGTACTATCCGTGGTTTCAGATATCCACCAGGTGTCTTGGAATGTATCCCTTGCTGATTAAGAAGAATGGAACTACTGCATTATCAACTCATACTCAGAAATAAGATAATAATGACCAGTAACATCTCCACCTTGGACAGGAATAAGGACAATAGTAATTATTATTACAGCTAATATTTATTATGTAGTTACAATATTTTGAGCACTATGCTAACATTTATTAAATGCTATATTCATATATCAACTCTTTGATTCCTTGTAACACTATCAATAGGTTTTAGTATTATTCCCATTTTAGAGATAAGAAAATAAAGAAATACAGAGGTTTACCATGTATCTCATTTAATCCTCATAAAACCCCTATTAGGTAAGTATTATCTGTAGAACTATTGTAATTACTAAGGTTTAGAGAATAAGTAACATGCCTACTCACACAGCTAAAAGGTGATAGAGCTGGGACTCAAATCACTACTATACTAAGTTAAATTGTGACTGATAGTACTGCTCTATTACCAATGATTAACATCTGTGCTTCTGGAGACTCTTCAGGATCTCGAAGTTATATCCTCTATCCTTTTTTAATACAGACTTTAACAAAGATATATATATCTGGTCTGGTTTGTGATCAAATTATTCAGATATGATTAACAATATGAACTAAAGGAAGACAAGAAAATGACTGCTATTCAAGCTAATTATTTCTAAAGTCAATTATAGCTAACTATAAATAGTTTTTTAATATATTTTCTGATCGTTCTTTTATCGATGTATTTATATTGCAACAATTCCACACAAAGGGAACATCTCCATTTTAGGGGGTTCCACGTTCCAGTTATAAATTTCACTAACAGACATAACTTTAAAAAAATTTTAATCTAGTATAATTTCATGTTAATTTTGTTAAAAGTGAGTATCAATTTTATTCAAATCCATAAGGTGTTTGCCTTATTAAGCAAACTTTGATTACCAACTACAAGAAAATCTACTATATTTCTCAAGTTAAACACAATCTAAAAATTGAAAATGTTTACATCAAATAAAATCAGCACCTAAAGTATGTCATCTATAAATTTTTTTAAAGAATAGTTTATTTATTTTTTTAGAGAGAAGAAGGAGAGAGAGAAACATCAATGTGAAAGTGCAACATCCATCGACTGCCTCCTGCACACCCCCTACCAAGGATGAAGCCCGTAACTGGAGCATGTGCCCTTGACTGAGAATAAAACCGGCTAACTCCTCGTACACAGGACAATGCCGAACCGAGCCACACTGGCCACAGTTTGGGCTCTTAAATTTATTTAAATCGTGTACCTCTGCTTATAATAATTTGGAGCAAATCAAATATATAGGACTACAGGCCCGGTGCACAAAAATTTGTGCACTCGGGGGGGTCCCTCAGCCCGGCCTATGCCCTCTCGCAGTCTGGAACCCCTTGGATGTCCACCTGCTGGCTTAGGCCCACTCCCCGGGGGGAACGGGCCTAAGCTGGCAGTCAGACATCCCTCTGGCAGCCCGGGAGCCCTCGGGGGATGTCCACTTGCCAGCGGGGATCAGGCCTAAGCTGCAGTTGGACTTCCTTAGCGCTGCTGAGGAGGTGGGAGAGGCTCCCGCCACCACCGCTGTGCTGGCAGCCATCGGCCTGGCTTGTGGCTGAGCAGAACTCCCCCTGTGGGAGCGCACTGACCACCAGGGGGAAGCTCCTGCATTGAGCATCTGCCCCCTGGTGGTCAGTGTGTGTCACAGTGACCAGTCATTCCCAGTCATTTTGCTGTTAGGGTCAATTTGCATATTACCCTTTTATTATATAGGATAGAGGCCTGGTGCATGGGTGGGGACGGCTGGTTTGCCCTGAGGGGGGTGCCAGATCAGGGTGGGGGTCCTGCTGGGGTGCCTGGATAGCCTGGGTAAGGGGCTGAGGGCCGTTTTCAAGCTGGCCACAGTCCCTTCAGGGTGGGAGTCCCCACTGGGGTGCCTGGCCAGCCTGGGTGAGGGGCTAATGGCTGTTTTCAGGCTGACCACACCCGCTTCAGGGTCGGGGTCCCTACTGCGGTGCCTGGCCAGCCTGGGTGAGGGGCTGAGGGCTGTTTGTAGGCTGGCCACAGCCCCTTCAGGGTGAGGGTCCCTACTGGGGTGCCTGGCCAGCCTGGGAGAGGGGCTGATGGCTGTTTGCAGGCTGGTCAACCCCCCAGTGGGGACCCTCACCCCATGTGAGTGTGGCCAGCCTGGGTGAGGGGCTGAGGGCTGTTTGTAGGCTGGCCACAGCCCCTTCAGGGTGAGGGTCCCTACTGGGGTGCCTGGCCAGCCTGGTTGAGGGGCTGATGGCCGTTTTCAGGTTGGCCACGCCCGCGGGCAGGAAGCAGGTATCTGGGATTTATTTATCTTCTATAATTGAAACTTTGTAGCCTTCAGTGGAGCTCAGGGCTGGCAGGGCAGGTGGGAAGATTGGCTTCCTCCATCACCGGGGCAACTCAAGCCTCCTGCTCACTCCAGCTCTGTGGCCGCCGCCATCTTTGTGACGGAGTGACCGAGTGATGGTTAATTTGCATATTACTCTTTTATTAGATAGGATAACTGCTTAAAGTCAAATAGAAAATCATGTACAAGCAAAATTATCACCAATAGATAATGAGCATCTATGCTAAAAAAAAGTACTCAGATAAAAATCCAAACATTATATTCAAATGTTTAAATTATTCCAAATATAAGAACTCTTACCTCTTTAATATTCAGGGGTCTTCCACTAAGATCATATTTGTTCATCGTTTCTAGTGCTTTCTTTACAAATTCTTCATCTTTAAATTCAACCACACTTAATTGAGAAAAAAATTGGGGGGAAATTTTTATGTACTAAGGTTATTATTTTTTTTTTTTACAATCAGAAGTTTAAATTTGACTTAAGATACTTAAAAAAAAAATTCTTACCCACAACCCTATATCCAGGTAGATTTGTCAATATATGCAAAAGAGAAAAAGTTTTATCAGTAGACGAAGTTAATGGTAGAGTCTAACATGTAAATCATTAAAAGCAATCAGTTAATAGTCATTTTTTTCTTTTATACCTCCAGAACATAAAAGGCAGTGACCACAATTTTTCTATAATTTTAAATATACCTATTTAAGATAGTAGGATCTAGTGTAATAAGCTTGAAGCACATTTTAGATGACTCTTCTTTACTTTTAAACTAATATAATGTAATTGCACAAATTCAATCAAAAGTAATTCAAAGAAATAATTGAAGACTCCAATATACCTGACCTTACATAGTTACAAATATTTTTAAAAGCTATATTGTATACAAATAGTTTTAAATGTATATTTTTCAATTTTATAAAAATCAAAATAGGAAATATTAATCTCACTTTTAACTCAGTTCTCAAACTGGCTGCATACAATTTAACAGCATCCAGTCTCAAGAATGCAAAAAAAAGTCACCTATGTTAAAGAAACAAATTTATAGTATCATTTTTTAAAATAATTCCATGTCATTATTACTGTTCAAAGTGACACTGGATGTAATGACAAGGTTTTCATGTTTCATGCACCCAACTGTTTTTTGCTAATAAAATTAAATACTGTTAAGAGCTTTCCAGTCTTTCTTCAGCATATTCTTTTCTTGCTGCTAAAAATCAAAATTGACTACCACCCAGTCCCTTCTATGTCAATTTAATCATCAATGTCATTCATACCAATTGGTCAGAGCACTGCCTCTTATGTCATCCTGTAGGCTACCAAATTAGGTTTTTTCAATATAAATTCCAAACATACATTCCAAATCAGCACCTTTAAGTTATAGGCCTCTCATAGGACTTTTAGGGAATATTATCAATTCAGTGACTTTAAAAATATCCTTGAAGACATCAAAACACAACAAAAAAAATCCTATATTAAAATCTATTGTCTAAGAAGAAGCATTACCTAGAGCATTAAAAAAGTGAATGCCCTTTATGAGCATTTACAAAACCCATCCCTTCCAGGAAGCTAGCTTGATTTGTATAAGTGTCAGACTTACTAATATAAAGCCTCAAATCTTGCATAATAAAGTAAAACAAAATGAAACTTAAGTTTCCAAAAAACTGGTACAAGTATTATACAAAAAGTAAACTGCTGAGGAACTTTTAAACCTCAAGCAGATTACTGCCCACAGCACTTACCCTTGATTTTCCTTCCGCATCCTTAAAGAGCTCCACGTATGTAACCTCACCAACTACATAAGACATACAAAAGGAAGATACCAAGAAACAATACATTTAAACACCAGTATCTTGCTTTACTGCACACCTGTGCACAACTCTACAGAAAAGCACCTATTATTCACCAACAATCAAAACCAGACCAACATACCTCCTGTCAATGGCTCTGTAAATTTAACTAATTTTCAGAAATGTACATCATCCACATTCTCTAAAAAAGCTAACCACCATATTAACCTAATTCATACTACAGATCATATTTTGGCCAGCATGATATAGTTGGTGAACAAATGCACATATACATACAAATGGTCCCTTAGCCTATCATATTAAAACATCAACATTAGCACTTTTCAAATAACTTTAGTCGCCTACACACAACAGCTGTTTTAAGGTGACTTCCTACCTGAATGTCTTCAATCATGTTTGCCATCAAACTAAATTTACAAGTCATGCTTCACAGCAAGCCACACACTTTCTAAATAAAGTCAATGAATAAAACCAATCAAATAGTTGTCACCTTACAACAGATACACCAATGCAATTTTTTTTAAAATTTATTAGAGATCAGCCTCAAAGCCAAGTACATAGTTTGCAGGACTGTTGAAACTCGATTTTTCAAGAGATAACAAAACTAACTTTTACAAGATCAAGTATTAAAATTATTTTCCCCCAAAACCAACCATGTATATAAAATGTAGTTTTTCAGGTTATTCTGAAAACAAAACTGCAACAGCAGTAACGCAATTTTTAAGTTGAACTGCAGAGACAGCATCATCGCATTCATGACAATGCAAACAAAGTGAATTCCACAGCCAGATTCCAGACTCCACCAAGATAATAACAAAGCAGCTTTTGGGAAAAAATTATCAGACCTTATTATTCATACTTTAACAGCTAAATGTATTGCTTAACTAATGCAATAGCCCTTTAAAAATCTATAAAAACTTCAACTAAACAAAGCAATCACTTTAACAAAATTCTTGGTGGCATGCATATGCTGGCTCGCTACTATCCTGCTAAAATAACAAAAAGAAAAAAACTTTATTTATCCATGCTATCTTGTAATGAAATTGTGTCAAGTGAAAGAAGAGGAAATGATTAATTCATGTGTCAAGAAATAAACAAAAATCAATTATTTGAGTCTGTGTGGCTCAGAGGTATAAAAAAAAGTTTGCTTAGTTCCCTCCCCCTTCAATGTGATTATTCAACAGTGGGTTTATCATAGATGTTTACCTTTTTCTCTCATGAGATCTTTAATAGCTTGCCATTTCATGTCATATGGGATGTTGCTAATGAAAACTCTGTTACGATTTGGACCCTTCTTCTCTCCAGTGCCTGAATTCTTGTCTTTTGAATAAGGATGAAATCTATGGGCCTTCTTATTTCCTGTAGATTTTTCCTTTAATTCAGATTTCTCTTCTTTCACTGATTCATCATTCTCCCTATGAATTAAAAATAAAACAAAATGGAAGTCTATATTAAATATTCAATATTTATCACTTCACTTCACAATACTATCCACTAAGTTAGATCTCAGCAAAGCAGCTGGAGAATCAGACTGCTGGCTTTGAAATTACCCAATGCCATCTCTCAAAGCAAGGATTTGGGCATATTACCAAAATTCTCATTTCACAATCCTTTTTTTCTATATTATATAGCTGCAGCATCCAAAAAATCACCCAGTTTTTCTCATCATAATGCATAATAAAATGTTATTGGAACTTTAGAGGGGGAAATGCTTGATTTTATTCCTACAGTATGTAAAACTGCCACCTTTAATGGAGAATTAACTTTCTGGGCCTTATTCAGAACTCTAAAAAATTATTCTACAAAATGATACCTTGAAAATTTTCATCTCTCAAAGGTTAACAGTTTCTTCCCAGAACTTTTCTCCTCCACTGATGAAAAATATAGTTAAAAAAACATAGGTATATCTACATATCTGTACATGTATATACTCCCATATGACTCAAAATTTTTTCTATTTTCAGTTTTGATCAACATAGAAAACTGGTAACTTATCCTAATATTTTCATGCTCAACATTTTCAGTTTTAACCTATAAACCAGGATTGGACACATTACAGAATCATGTCATTTTTATTAGTATTATCTGTAATAGAGGGATGGAGTGGAGGAAGGGAGCAGTACTTAAATATAACACCAACCAGAATTTTATAAAACTACCTTTTAATGAGGCCCTAACTGAAAAGTTATTTAATTTATAAAACTATAATCACAAGTCAACTATGTGATGCTATCCATCAACCTTTTTTTGGCTATAAGTATACACTTAAAGTAAACCCTATAGATAAAACTTTAAATATATATTTTTAAAATGCAGTTTACTTTTCAAAAGGAATCTCTTTTTTTTACAGATATAACAGATTTATTTTAAATCACTAATTACACTAGTGAATTTAAAATTAACTAAAACTTTGACTTTAAAGCAATTTTTCATGAAAATCTCTGGGAATGGCACCCAAGGAATCTAAATTTTTTTAAACTTTCTGGATAATCCAATAACCAATCAGGCTTCATAATCCAGGGTCTAAATTATCTTCTAAGCCAAGCAATTGTGAAAACATATACATTGCAGTGCTCCACACACACTAGAATCTTGTTCCATGACATATAGAACTTTCACACACCACTTTTCTGAGCAAGAAAAAACACAGCCAAATGTGATTTATAAAACTCTACAAAAACAAAAACTATCTGTTGTTATCAGTAGCATCTAGCATTGGTGACTGCACATAACATGTGCTCAATAAATGTTAATTCTTAAATGAGCTTACAGTCAAATGGTGGATATTAGGACCACACTTGCTTTACCACTTTTTCAGACCTTGAAAGGGACACCTTCACTGTCAAACATCTTCCCTCATCAAAAATGGCACAGCTTGGAAGGGATCATCTCACCTGTCCAACTCTAGCAAATACCAAAAATGGCAACGGCTCATCTACATGAATAATTAAGACTACCTATGGAAGGCAGATTAGTTTAGAGCCAAAGGCATGGTCTGATGAAGACCTTAAGCTACAATTACTCAATTTCTGAACTCTTTCTATGTCCTAAATACATTATGGAAGACATAGTAAAAATATATGTACAATCTCTTAGGAAAACAATGCTATGTAATATGAAAATACTGGCACTATATCCAGAAGTTCATGTAATAATTCCCAAACTATTCATTTAGACAAACCTTCCTCTTAATGTACTTGCAATACTGACTGTGACTATTCTTTTTCTTTTTAATTTTCATTGAATTTATTGGGGTGATATTGGTTAATTAAGTTATACAGGTTTCAAGTGTACAATTCTATAATACATCATCTGTATATTGTATCATGTATTCACCATCCAAAGTAAGTCTCTTTCCATCACCACTTATCCCCCCTTTACCCTCTTCTACCTCCCCCCAACCCCTCTCGCTCTGGTAATCACCATATTGTTGTACAGACTATGACTATTTTAAGTCACAAGAATGTTATCTACTCTTATGATTGAATTATGCCTACCCAAATAATAACATAAATTTCTGAAAAAATCAATAATGAACATCAAACAAGAAAATATAGTTTTAATATGATTTTAAAAACATAAAGCTATAGCATGAGTTCCAAAATTAAGCCCAGTTCCATTCTTTACTCGTAATATGATTTTTAAAAATACTACAGACAGTCCTCAGGTTACGTCAGACTCGATGTACATCATTTTGTGGTTACATCGCCATCTCCCATTTATAAAAAAAAAAAAAAAGTTCTTCATTTCGACGTATGTACATATGTGCTTTGTTTTTTATTATTTATTTACCACAAGTAAAGGTCAGGAATTGTTATCTTTCTTTTAAATTTTTTTTACTGTTTCACTTCATTACTGCTGTGTATGTGCTCCATGTGAGTGACGTAGGTGCTTATGTAGGTGGGTCCGACCTATGGCGAAAATCACGTTACTTCGCGCTGTAAACCCGAGGACCTACTGTATTCTACTTCAACTATTTCACCCTTCTCCAATGCTTAATATTTTATATTAGTACCCTAATATAACTCTCAATATCCACATACTTAATCGACCTTGAATAATGAGGAGTTACAACAACACTATTTTTCCTCCTGATATTCACTTAAGAAAAAGAGAGCTAGGATACTATTTGGCACAAAGAAAAAGACAACGACACCTAGGAAAACACCTTTAAATTCTTGTCCAAAGTTGTGAACATGCTCACTAAATCCCCTGTCTGAGTTTCATGATCATAAAAGTTCACTTCTAGATTTCTTAAATAAATATTTATTGGGTCTTTTTAATCATAATAACTTGGGGATAAAAGATGAGGAAGACATAGTGGTCTCCATCCTGTGACTATGGATTAACCTCAGCAAAAGTCATTTCAATCTTGATAACAAGAGGCCCTGTGTTCAATTCTAAGCAATATATATTTTAAGATAATATTTGGTAATTTTATCATCTCTATGAATTCTTATCATTAATAAATATATGGAAACCAATTGAAGTTTATGCCTTGAGTGTTAACTACTCCTATTGGTTCAAAGGGTCCAAAAAAAATGGTTAGATTGCTAGTTACTCAGTGTGAGTAGGTCACCCATGCTGGACCATTACATATTTTTATGGACTAGAGTAGACAGTACAAGAAACCCCAGAAAGTAAACTGACCTCTTCACTCAACTTCTTGGAAAAGAAGATAACAGAGGGATGAATAATAAGCAATATGAAAAGGATCTGCATTTGGATTTACTACATTTCTTCACCTTGCATTTTCTTTTTCCAATTAGAAGTTAAAGAGATTCTTTTTCCACCTCTCTCCTCTCCTGTGTAACTAAACCGCATTTAAAAGGGATTAGAGACTTTTGGATCTGATGGAAGTTTAGATACCAGCTTTACCTGTTGTGGAAACATACACATTGCAGGGCTCCACACACACTGGAATCTTGTTCCATGACATATAGAACTTTTCATATCCAAGTAAAGTAGGGCTTCTCTCTGTAATCCAAGGCTATCCTTTTTGTTCAAGAGAAAAGGGTGGCAGACCCATGTTTAGATGTTTTTAGAAAGCACATTTTAAATGTATCATTTCACTGGTTTGCATTCATATTTATGATGCCAAATCCCTGAAAGCCCACGTTTTGGCAGGCATGCAAGGAAGGGCTTCAGTCACTTTTGGTTCCTCAGTTACTGAGGTGCACCCACATTCCTTCGCTTATACCTTCACCTCTATTCTGGCTAAAGATACTGCCCATCCTATTCAAGCCAAATTGAGAGCAAGAGTGCCCTAACCAACCTTATGTGCAGTCACCCCTTAAACAAACAGACTGGTCCCGATTTACTACAGTTTCAAACAGTCTTACACAAAACAGAAGAAAGGGCATGTTCCTGGTCTATTGTAGTATGAGCATATGGTCACTGCTTTCTACTCTGAAGAAGGAAAATAACGTTTTCACTAAAAAACATCATACTTTCAACCTCAGGTTTAAAGAGCTGGGCATACACAAATAAATGCCTGACTTCACATACCCTCTTATAACAAGAACAAAGGGGCGGGGTAGGGGGGGTAACATTTCCTTATAGTCACTAGAAATTTATGATGCATTCGCGTCAACTCCATTCTTTGGAGGCTCTAGTGACAGGTGTAATCTTAAAAGTAGTGCATTTCCTCCAATTAAGAAAATATTGCTATGCCATTTTACCAAATTAAGAACCTGCCATCACACACTGTTTTAAAAAAAAATAGCCTGCAGGGATTGACACACATTTGAGGAGCGGGAAGGGCAAGCAAGGCACATTTTTCTCCCCCTTTTTAAAGTACCTCTTCCCATTCTAGGGTAACACAAAGGATTCGGTCTCGCAGCGCATTGTTCAACTTCCCCTGGCTATCTATCCGTTCAGAAATTCGTCTTTACTTTGAAAAACAACAGAGCAACCGAATGCACGGAGCTCAGCACGAGGCCCGGCGGCCGGGAGGACATGTCGATGATGTCATCCCTAGATACTCCCTAGTGATGAACACCAACTGCGGGCCTTTAAAAGCCGGCGCTGCCCGGGGACCCCAC